GCCTGGGTCCGGACACACGAGGAGCAGCGGGAGGCTCCGCCGAGCCGCGCGCAGGTGAAGCGACCGTCCCGCTGCGGCCGGGACGCGGGGCTTCGGATGGGCGGGGGAGGGGCGGTCTGGCAACCCTCCTTCCCACCCCTCCACCCCCCGAGACCGAGCGAGCCCGGGAAAGTTTAGTGACAAATCCCGGTGCGGGAACCCCAGCCCCGGCACCGCGGTGTGTAGGGAGCCGAACCCGGGTTGGGCGGCTCAAACTCCCCTCGTATCCGGCTGGGGGCGAGCAGGACGCGGCCACGGGAAGAGGGCCAGCGAGAGCGGGATGACCCGAGCCGCACTGCTGGGCACACTCAGGACAGGGCCAGGAGCCCCTGCCCGGGCCTGCGCCCCGGGTCCCCCATACCTGGGCCGTCGCCTGGTCCTCTCCTCCAGGGCGGAGGTACTCAGGCTCCCGCGCTTCCTCATCTCTCGCCGGGTTTGTGCCCGCGCCAAGAGACGCGCGGGTAAAGGGAACGGAGGGGGCGCGCAGAAAGCAAGGACGTCTTTGGGGGCAGTATTGGCATCTCCCAGGGAGATGGGGAGCGTACACATGAGGAAATCCTGCTTCCCTGTGAAGTCGAGTTCCCCCTAAAATCTGGCCTTGTTCCTTTCTCTCTACCCCCGCCTTCTCTCTCTCTCTCTCTCTCTCCTCTCCCCTCACCCCTCTCCCCTCACCCCTCTCCCTCTCAGGTTTGCGTTGATGTTTTAGGTCTTTGGGTTGCTTGTCTTCCTGCAATGCTAAACTGAGTAGGGGAGGGTCCAGGGTCCCTGACTGGAGTTTGCCAGAAGCCTGTCCTCAGAGGCCTGATCAATGTAAAGACCTTGATAAGAGACCCTGGAGTGTAAGAGGACAGGTCTGGCATGGGCTGGTCTCAGAGACTGGAATGGCAGGCACGAGGGCATTCCAGAGCTGCCCTGCACTGGGACTGGAGGTGGCCGACTGCCGAGGGAAGGAGCCTCATCTGTCTCCCGCCGCCGGCCTGGCCTCTGCCTGCCACAGAGTTAGGTGCTTTGGGTGGATGTGCTTCCCCTGACAAAGCACGATGAAGCTGGAGGGGATCCCTGAGTGGCTGCAGAAAGTGATACCGTGGATCTGCTTCTAGAGAGAGCTCCCCAGGACCTTCCGTGCTGCTAGTCCTTCCCCACTGGGGTCTCCCACATTCAGCCTGCTCTGGACGGGCTCTCTCCCAGCTTGCTGTTTCCACTGGGCCAGCTAACCGCCTCCCACCCCCACCCCCCGCGGTGGCTTCTGGGTGGGTGTCGAATAGGTCCAGGTTAGCAGGTGTGGTGTGGGAGGGTTGCTTGCGGGGGCAGAATAGAATGTCTCCGAACACACCCCTGGCTGTAGGTGGTTGTTCTAGCTTCATCAATTCCTTCTTCCACTGCTGCTCCACTCATAACCACATAGTGGTGTGTGTGTGTGTAGGGGGGTGGGCAGACAGGGAGATGGAGGAGTGGGGGGATGTGCTAGGAGGGGAAGAATCAGAGCCGTGTAAAGTATATACATTCACCTTCCCTTGACATAGTTAATATGCTCCTGGAAAAATATTGAATTATACTTTAAATCTTTGTCATTAAAATAGATTTTGCATGCACTTAAGGCAGTTTACTATTTAAGGAAACTTATGATAATTTCTCTATTCATTTCAACCATTTTATTTTTGGGGTACCTGTGGTTTGCACTGCATAGGCCCTCAGAGGTTCCTGGGGATGCGCAGGGGCTCCCTCCTTGAGCTCAGAGTTTCAGTCTGTCAGGAGAAGGGAGATGAATAAACTGACAGCTCCCACCCAAACCAGTGCGTGTATATAGGCATGTAATAGGCGCCCTGTATTTATTGGATGATGGGGATGATCTAATGAATAAGGTACCCGAAGAATGGTCCAGATAAAAACACTTTAGAAGGACAGAGGAGAAAGAAGTCACTTTTGACTGAGGAGATCTGAAAGGCTCTATGGAGGAGAACTGAGATAGAGAAGCTGTGGGCTGAGGGGTTGATCCTGAGTGAGGATGTGGCCCCAGGGATATGATGGAAGAAGAGGCTGGCCTGAGGTCTTGGGGAAGCTTAGTTCTGCAGCTGATAGGGAAATATTTGGGATTTTTGAGCTAGGGATTGTCGCTTTGTGCTTCAGGGAGATGAATCTGATCTCTGGCAGAAAGAATCAGAACTGGGAGAGATGGGAGGTGAGTTGTCCAGGGAGAAGGTTATTGTAATAAGATGAGCACAGGAGGTCATGGAAGTCTGACAGCAGGCTGTGGGAAGAAAGGAAAAGTTCATTAGACATGGCCTTGAAGTATGGGCACTACTTGGATTTGGAGTGAAGAAGAAGCAAAAATCACCTGGAGGCTCGGCGGGCATGTGAATACATAGGTGACTGAAATAGGGAGTTTGGAGTTTTAACATTCAGCAAACGAGCAGCCTGAAGAAACCCTTCCAGACCCCTCCTCCCTCTTCCCACTTCTACTCAGTCTCCCAGACCTATCAGTGGCTCCCAGGATGCAGAATAAATTCCAAATCCTATGTGCCTCCTCAGACTTCTTTCCTGCTATGTCCCTAACACACACACACACACACACACACACACACACACACACACACACACACGAGCTGTAGACCTCCTGACCTGTCATACTCTCTGCCTCTACAATGCTGACTTGCTGGGGGTGGTAGTGGGAGAATTGAGGTCCTGGAATATCCTTTCTTCCCTGATCTTCCTGATGAACCACTTCTTACTCTTCAAGATCCAGCTCAAGGGTCTCCTCCTCTGTGATTCTCTGTCTTTCTCTCCCAAGTTGAGCAGTCTTACCTTTGGACTTGGCTCTACAGAGCCTGTTGGCACACTTATCATGCTGCCCTGGGCCTGTTTCTTTAGGACCATATCTTATTCACGCCCAGATAAGGCCTCCACCAGCCGTCCGCTAGCTTCCTCAGGGAGAGAGGCAGAAGCAACACTCCATGACCTCCCTCTCCCCACCACCAGCTGATTGTACTTGGTGTTGTCCCAGACCTGGTAGGCTGGACAAGATAACACAGAGCTGCAGATACTCCCTTGGCCCAGATCACGTGGGCCTATGTAACTTAGACTATGGTGTGTGTGTGTCGGGGGGTGGGGGAGGTCTCTGTTGGAATGTGGCCTCAGGGCCCTCTTACTGCATCAGTCACAAGGGGAAGCGTCCCAAGGAAGATGAACCCATAAAAGGTCAGGACAAAACTCAAAGAGAGGCTGAATCTCTAAAGACAGACTTGGAGACTGGACAGTTTTTAACCTCTTTCTTCTGCCTTCAAAAGTGTCTCCATAGGACCATGTAGGATGCGGCAGGCAAGCCCCTGAGGGAGGTAGGCAGGCAGGTAGAGGCAGGAATGTCTGAGAAAGGCCAGTCTTCACAAAGACTAAGAACAGTGTCTGTCAAGGATGGTCATGGGAGCCAGGTTCACCGGATGACAGAGAGAGTGATTGCCAAGATGATTGAAGTCTGGCGCATAGACACTGGATCCAGAGGTGTGCCAGTTAAAAATAATCTGGAGGGTATTTTGAGGAGGTGGTAGTGTTGTGGGAAGGTTTATCCAGGAATGTTCCCCAAATCCCCTTCCCAGGCATGTGTGGTAAACAAAAGAGCAGTGGGAGAGAACGAAGACAAGATAAGGGGTGTTTGGGAGGGAAGAAGCCAGAGGTGAACAGGAGCAGGTGCAGGGAAAGAAAAAAAGCTGGCATCTCCCTTCCTGGGAAGGTAGGAGGGAAGCAGAGGTTGGGAGAGGCGCTGGAGAAGGAGCCTGCAGTGTAGTGGAAGGATGTGTCGTCTTGGTAAAGTGGGAGAGGTGCCTGGCTGCTGGGGGCGGGGGGCAAGAGGGGGTGGGGCAGGCGGAAGTACTGCTGGCAGCTGGGTAGGTGAACCTGGTGCCTGGCACCGGCCGAGGTGGCCAAGAGGGAAAGGAGGGTTTCTGGAATTGGGGTCAGAGGCTTTGGCTGGAGTCCTAGCAGTGCAGAAAACCTCTCACTGGCCGGATCATTAGAAATACTGAAGCCTCGGTCTCCTCTTGTGCAAGACTGGGACAGTAGCAACTTCACAGGGTCGTTCTCAGGAGGAATGAAAAAAGATCCTGAGGTATGTATGCAAACTCCTCAGTGACAGTGTCTGCTACAAAGTAGCAGGTCCTTCTGTTAGTGCGTCGAGAAATGAATAAGCCTCTTGTCAAAGCCCGTGACAGCCCAGTGAGTGTACAAGGCAGGACTTTTTAGCGGACCCAGCCGAAGCTTGCTTTCAGCTTTGGATGCAAAGCTCTGGACTGCTGGGAGCAGCCTCTCACCTCCCTGTTCCCACTTTAAGGAATCTTTCAGGATGTCTGCCTTTTTATTGTTGACTTGTTTCAGTGGATACATCTGTACTTCACATGCAGAGGTCACGTTGCCAGGCTCAAAGCAGGGAGATCCTGCAGAGTCTCCCCTCCTCTGCGCTTTGGAAGGGGTGATGCATTCAGACTTGCGAATTCCCGTATTGGAGGAACCCGAGGCCCAGAAGAGTGGAGAACTTGCCTCCTTCTAGCACAACTAGAAGTAGAATCACATCTGTAGTGGCTAGATTTGCAGAACTGTTGTCTTCAGTGGTAATAGTGCAAGATGCAGGTGGGTGAAGAGGAATTGAAAATATGTGTACCCCCTTGGTTTTATGAATGAATCATGATTATACTTAGAAAGATTAAATAAATATTCTCCCCTATTAGTGAAGAGCAGAGGAAAAGGAGCACTTAATTTGCTTTACTAAACACTCACTAGGTGTGTGTCAAATTAAATGACATTGGGGGAAAATGTGTATGATGTTTCTTTAAGGAACTCAAAGTATAAAAGTATTTTCTCAGATTATTCCTGATTTATTTATTTATTTTACGTCGATCGTGTTGTTCTTTGGGCCTAAACATAGGTCCATATACAATGATAGATCCTTCTATGGCATTTAAAGGTTTTAAATTCCCGATCTTATACTATCCATATGCTAGAAATGGGAAAAAGAGAGAATTGGGAAAGAATTCTTTTCCTGTGTGTTCTGCAGTTCTGGGCAGAGGCAGGACTGGAAGCCAGGTAGGTCATCGGATTTAGGCTCGGATTGCCTGTGATCTAAAGAGCTCTGCATTCTATTTACAAATGTGTTCAAGAAAACACTGGGAGCATTTACGGTTTGAAAAGTCAATCGTCGAAGAGGCCCTTTGTGGTCCGATAAGGCGGCTGAGCCTGGAGATGGCTTGTTAAGGCACTAAGTGTGCGGAGAAGACACATTTGTCTTTGAAGCCTCTCCAGCTCCGGGAAGAGGCCTGCCCCGGCTGTGGCCTCTCTCCAATGCCAATGGGGTCCTCTCCATCCCCACATTCTCAATGGGGCAGGGAAACAATCCCCGTTCTCAGAGCGCTTGCCTCCTTGATGCGTGCATCACCTACGTGAATACA